ATTTTGTTAACATAATTTTAACATTGAAGCCCCAACTGGTATTGATTAAGTCGCACATCTAATAAGCCAAAAGACTACTAACATGGACCTCGAATAGTTGTCGATTTAAAATAAAATTAATTTGTTTCATTATGGGGAATTTACACCGTTGTGGTAGACGACCAGAGTCGTAATACTAAATTGACACATAAATCAGAGTTTCTTTTAAAATTAAATCAATTTTTTTAACGAGATGACAGAAATTTCCGAGTCGTTTGCTTACATTTTCAGAAATCCGCACTGATGTGTCGGTAAATCAAGAGTTCACATCCTGCAAAATGACGCAAACTTGGCACATGAAGCCTGGATCGCTGCCCAATCACGGAAGTGTGGAATTTTGCAAATTCATTTTCTCAAATCACTCGCGTACTTTGCTCGCACACGAACCAAACGACCTTTGTGTCTTAATGGACATTGAACCGATACGTACAAGCCCAGGGGGCGATTAATCCAATGGCCGCGTGTGTACAGCACTGACAGACAACGACCTTGAACACTCTGAATTTTCATTGGTCTAGGCTGGCCTACGATCATTGGTCAAAATGTGAGATAAAAAATCGATAGACTTCCATTGCCAGCTCACGGTGGCTGCGTTATAAATACTCTAGAGAATTCTTGAATGAACGAAAACTATGGAGTTCGATTTCTTAATGTCTTAAATTCCCGCACAGTGAATCTCACCGCCAGCAACGGTTGAGATACGTCATCCTTAATTTAAGTTCCATTTTCTGGTCATTCCGTGTGATTCGAGGTTTATATCAAAACGTCTTTAATCTCAAACGGGTGTATCTCGTGTCCACGAATTCGGAGGTTTCAGGTATCCGTGAAATCCGGTGAAATCCACTTGAAGTTATTCTAATCCAACTAAACAACGCTGACAGACATTCACGCCAAGTTAGTAGATTAGCTTATTCACAACGGATCAATATTGGGCATGGAGATGCGTGGAGCTGATTCACGTCCATTGACCCGGTCGCCACATCCGCAGGCCCGCTGCCCTTCCTCTTCATTCCCTGTGTATCCTCCCCCCCCTGTGTTATCATTCAATTTATTGGCCTTTCCACCATTTGTACTTTTAAAGGGTTCACCTTGACCGGAATGATTGACGGCCCCCATTGATCCAGAACTACATTGAAGGCCACGCACGTCAACAGCACTGCTAGTTTGGAACACCCAATTAACTTGCCTCCACCGACTCCAGTCTTATTGGTCGCCCCGGATATCAATGTAGCAAAATTTCATCCAACACAACACGGCAATCCTGGTGTGGTTGGTTCAAGACCACATGGCTGGACCCCACAGCACATTCAACCGATTTGAATAATTTGCAAGGTCACCTGATCTCACGAAAACCGTATTTTTGCATGATATTTGTGTTACACAATTACGATGAGACGGGTTAGAAAGCGTAAACCATCTTTTGAAATATCGTCAACCCGTGTAATGCTGTAGAACACAGTTTGCTCACTTCTGATACGGCACGATACTTAAAAAAAATTCCTTTTTTTTAAACTCACACAAAATTCAGAGTGCTTTGTGTGGCACGCAGTTGTGTCGATGTGAGCCTAAAGTGGTTGATAAGTGTGTGTGTGTGTGTGTGTGTGTGTGTGTGTGTATGGTGAGGTCTAACGCTTCTCGCAGTACATGCTAGATTAAAAGTCCCGAGAATGTTCGTCATAACAACTTATTTTCAGTTGCTAATATCTTTCTACTCGGAACGATCGATAATTTCATTGGCAGACTTGTGATTTTCCTAAACAAACGGTACCTAAAACATGCAACTTGGCTGGAGAGGGAATTAGACACGTGGACGCAAGCGGAGACCACCTCGATCATGGATTTTTTGCCATCTAAAGCAGCACCAGATGGACTCTGGTTGGACTGCATTGCACAAACGAGGTGTGCGTAGGTGTTTGTAGCAGCGTGCAATTCGGGTTGGATCATGGGGTCACATCAACGCGCACACACACACATGGTGAGCACAGCGCACACATCTGCGAAACTCGCGCGCTCAAGCAGTAGCCAATCACAGTGCAGCATAGAGGATGACACAGCTACTTCATAGCGAGGTTTTTTCAGTTGGAACTCCAGAGACGACTCGAAGTCACCTAATTCACGCGTACCCACACACGCACGTACGTCCGCACTCATTCAATATATTCCAACGGTCTGCTAGCGGTTGAATTTTCTGCGGAGGTCTCTCTACTGGGATTGATCAATTTCGGAAATTTTCGTTCGTTAAAACAGTAGAGGCTACTTTGAGGAATTTAAATTCATAATAGTCGGAACCTCACCTGGCGAAATGCCGATTCAACACGGTGGTAAGTTGGTCTCGTTTACCTCACCATCACGTTAAAAAATGTTTGTTCATAATTTTCACAGTGCAAGACTTGCTAACGCCTTGGCTGATTTCCACATTCCTCTATGATATTTGCTCCCACGTAGAACGTTGGCGCAATACATAAATTATATTTTACCTAATTATTACGCATTTCACTGGCTTCATGTAATGGAGATCAAGTGGGTGAAGACTGTCACTCGCGCCAGATAGCTTGTCCCCAATGTGTATACAAGAATTAAATTAGTATAAATTTTTGTGCCAATTTACTCCTGTGTTGATTGGAGATGTTTATACCCTAGAAACATTTTAAATTGACCAAATCCCAACACATGTGTCGTGTAATCTTGTTATTCTTAACGTGGACGTCAATAATTAGTAGCCATGGGAGTCTGCTTACCATAACTAAACAATTCACCTGCCACCGAAATCTTGTGTAAGTTGACATTAGAATTGGCTCACATGAACTTCAAAACAGCTCAGATTGAGCCACATGATGAGTGGTTTATGTGAGATTAGTGTTAAAGCCAAGTGCTCGACAGATCACGTGATGTGTGGGATCTAAACCCCTATTGGATGCTCCAGCTGCATGTTGGATCATCACTGAGCTGTCACAGTTTTCAATCTCCACGGGACACTATAGCTCATTAGGCATCGTTGCCACTAGCTGATACTCAGGCGCAATATTCACTAAGCGCCTTGCTGAGGTTTTAAGAAAATGTTTGCACTCGGTTGATGACGAATTCACAAACTGCAGAGGTTTAAATTTTTCGCTGAAGTGTACCCCCATGATACTGTGAGTTGGACTGACTTTTTCACTTGTGAATCACAAACCAGATTACCATTTTGCTCCAGTAGAATCTCTGTCTCAAAAGATATCCTTTTTTGAATTTCTGGATTCGGTTGATGGGTAATTTTAACACCAGCCAAATTTGCAAACCGAAATCACACAATGCCAACCACACAAGAAAGGCCTTGTTTGTATTTGTTTTTATGAGCTGTGTGCTCCATTTTCCTCCAAGGCTCCTAACTTAAAGAATGCCAAACTAGGTTTGATGGATCGCACACACATTCACAAACATGAAAGAAGCCGCGCCATCCGGGTCGGTGGAATCCAGGGCTGTTTTGATGAGAACATTGTGTTTTCTGGAGTCTTAATAAAAAAACGCGAAAGGTCAACTTACCTTAGCTCTTCGACCAATAACTCGCGTCATTTTTCAATCAATGTTTGTGATTGGTCCAAACAACGGGACGCAGAGAAGCGGTCCAGGTTGGTAAACTCCACGTCCACGGTGTCAACCGGGGCCCCCTCAACTACCTCTTCCAAAGAGGCTTTTGATTGAGGTCTTGCCAGTGATGACGTTGTAGAGTTGGCAATCACACTACGTGCAGTTTCCATGTGTGAAACGTGGAGGTGAACTGATTTATGACTTAACTTAATGCACACGCTTCGCAGTTAACGAACACTCTAGTTGCCCTTAACCCATGGACTTATTTAAGCACACACACGAACACACAAATTGAGAAATGCTTCGATTCCGAATCATCATGCCCTAGCGCCTCATTGGTCACTCGTAGGGCGGTTGGACGGTCAGTTAAAAACCCCTGTAGCCAAATAATCAATATCATTAACTATTAAGCAGGATCCACGTGCAATTATTTGGGCTCCTCCATTCTCTGGGTAATTATGCAAATTATATGCTAACGCAAGCATTACCGATGCCACCTCCTTCTGCGTGCATCTGTGTCAAACACACACACAAAGACACATGCGGATTTGGCATTGGATTCTGTGAAATCACACAACGCTCTCACGCACCTCCGGTCACCCCGTGTGTTCTCTGATCCTCCTCACATATCGCCTGTCCTAGCTCGCTTTCGATTCATTCGCAAAAATCAAGTGTGTACGACAGCGTAATATAATGCCTGGGGTTTGAGTAAGTAACCCGCTAAAGGAAGTTCTGTGTTGGTTTGTACACGTGAAGATTCCACTTTTGTTAATGTCGACAGCTCCGTTCAGACTTTAGCTGTGTGGCTAACTCAATTTCACCCTGGTCTGAAATTGACTAGTAAAACAGCTGTGGAAATAAATATTGTGATTTTTTCCGAGAAAAGGAGAAACCGACCAGACGAGTTAGTAGAGGCATTGATTGGGTTTGAGATTGCTCGATGTATTGCTTGCGTTGTAAAATGACGCCAAGGTCCGCTAAACAAAATGCCTCTGCAATCATAACCCTAATTGGGAGTCGATTCTGTGATCAATTAAAACAAAAAAACACCAATCCTCGTATTGCCATGTACTAGGCCCATTAGTAAACATTGGATCTGGTGGCTTGAGACCATAATTTTGATTTACTCTTATCACGTAAACCTTTTTTTTCGTTTTAGATATCGAAGTGATTGAAAAATCACTCACGGATTATAAGGTATGTCCCAACCTTTGGTAAATAACTTTGCTTGGTGGAGGAAGTGAACAAAAACGTTGCGTGTTAAGTGTTAAAACTGAGTCAGTGGATTGGGTTTGCAGCCTTTCCTAGCATAGACATGTTGTAAGCCCCGAGTGGTAACGACGCCGTTGATTGTGTACTTTGTGCCTACGCCTTGACAGCTGAAGGCCCAAACGATGAACGTGGGCGTGAACTACATGGCACTTGATGAAGAGCGTCGGCGACAGGAGCACCTGCTTCGGGAACTTCGTGACATCGAAGAGGAGATCTCTTCGCCGTCCCTAAGCAACACCAAACTGCCCCATTTGGCCTCAATTGTTGGGGTGAGTGAAACTGGTTGTAAGGGACATCTAGCTACTGTGTGCCTGAATGTTAGGTGATGTCACCTTTGCTTTCATGAAAACGTACTTTTTCCACAGACCGAGCTGAAACACAACACCAAGTGCCTTCAGTACTTGACGGGGATATCAGAACTGGAGCGAAGCATCGGGGAAGTGGCGGCTCATTTTGCCGAGAGGTCTGTTGAACTGAGCAACCCGAATTCCCTGCACAAAGACGTGATCACGTACAAGGTACGCCTGGTTGCCTTGAGTTGGTCAATTTCAACCCCTATTTATATTCTGCAATAGGTGTCTTCATGACTAGGGGCCAATTTAACGGTTATCAATAGAGTGGCGCTAATTGATTGCCGCTTTTTTATGTTTTAGACGCTTACCGACAACGTGAAGAGCTGTTGGAACTACGTAGATCAACTTTCAACTCTGGCCCAAATCCATCTGAGGGCGTCCGCCGAGTACCACCAAGTAGGGTTCCTTTTCACCTTTTTTGAAGTTAACTTGGTAAAGCAGAGCCTGGGTAATGACTGTGCCCGATTGGTTCTAGTTCTTCCACGAGGCTAACGAGATTGAGGCAAAGTTGGCGAAACAACTCACCATCGCCCAGAAGATGCAGCAGTCAGCAGCTGCTCGACGATCGCACAAGGAGGCCACCAAAGTGTCCAATGAAATTCGGGTAAGTCTGAGGCACAGCAACCAATCAGGTCCACGCAATCTTTTTGACGCTCACGGAAATAGCCAATAACTGGATCTAAAACGCGGCACTTTGTAGGAACAACTAGATATGATGCGGAGTCTGTGGAAGCGCAGTATGGACCTGGTGAAGAGGAGCGAGAGCATTGTGCCGATACGACTGCGTTTAGGTGGCGTTGCCAGGGGCAGCGCGATCGGCGACCCCAACAATCGACCGGTGATGGTGCGAGCTATGGTCGGCCTCACTGGACCTGATTACAGAATCCAGAAGGGAGAACACCTGCGTCTGATCGACAACAGACAAGAGACCCACTTGTGGCGTGTCCAGACGTCGTCCGGAGTAGTCGAAGTTCCCTCCATTTGTTTCTGGCTCACAGACTGCGACACGGAGGCGACTGAGCGGGCAATTAGGTAAATTAAAAGTCAACCTCGCATATCCAACGCTTCAGTAAATAGCCCACAGATTCATTTCACGATTTGATTCGACATCCTATGATTTTTCCAGCGGTCAATGGAAAGAGTAGTACTACATGCTTCGACCTTTCTTCAAGTACTAGTTGTCAACATCGCGATTACTTGGGCGTCGGTGTGACATTATGTGCTCCAAAACAACTAAACTTGACGAGCGTCATTTGTCTCGATCGAAATCATGAAATAATCACACACGATCAATTATTTGAGCGATGATTGACTTACTTATTAAACAAAGAATGCATTTTTATGTTTGACAGCATCAAGCAGCAGTGCAAGAAGACGTGGTTAGACATCATCAACTTGATACGTCTGCGACTCTACTCGGTGTACACCGATTTACTGGACCAGTTCAATTCTCGTGAGGTAATTTTTTTCTTTTTCGACTAGCAGACCAGGGACAAAAGGCGTGGTTTTGATTTAATTAGAATTTTCCACACAACGAACCCGCGGCAAATAGCATTACGTCTTCACACGATTGCCAAGATCCAGGCTACACCACACGATGCAGTGTGCGTGTTCTTCAGGCCAGAACACTGACCGACAAATGAGTACGCTTTCGGTGTAGACAAGGCAACCGAGTCAGGGACTAATTTAAACACAAAAATTCCAGTAAAATGTAGATTTTGCTAATCTGCCTTCATAAGCGTTTGTTGGCTAGGCTTTCCCAAGGACTTTAAATGACGTTTTTCTTTGGTACGGCATTTCATCAACTGAGCAAGTTGGTACTAATATAAGGCATGGATGGCTTATGTTAAGAAAGCCAAATTGTTATTTTAAACCGAGAATTGAATTGCCTTAAGGTCTACTGCTTCGATGAGGATGCGCTGAGAGCATTCTTCCGTGAACTCCAACAATACCTAATTTCAACCGTGGGCCAAGATGGTCGTCTCAAAGATGCACTGGAAATCTTCCAGAAGCGGGTGGTCATCTCCAAAAGTAAGCAATGCGCATTTCGTTGACACCGTTTTGACTCTACACACACACACACACTTAACGCGGGCCTATGAATGCATGAGGCGACTGAGTGACTGGTGTGATGGATGCGAAAACGTGTGTTTTTAGGCGTGTGCGCGAGACCTAGGAACTAGGGAGAAAATTTCTAAAAGCCAGAATAACACTTTTGCTTAGTGAGAAACACGTTTTCACGAATTTCTTCCTCACCAATAGGATTAGAGAGGCTCCAATCGGAGGATATAAACCTCAGGGAATCGGACATTATGCGCATTCGAGCGCCACTGCTACGCCTCCAGGACCACCTCGTGGCTGCGGATCAGATGCAAGAAGACATGAAGCGGATCAACGATCGCATTACCGAATATCTGTCCGAAGTTGACAATGATCGTCGGCGAATTGCCAAGACATTGGACCACTTAACGTGAGTGTTTCCAAACTGAGATTTTTTTCGCTAGCTGCGTTTTTAACAGCACCTATTTTGCATTATAAGCAAAGCTCTGGTGGAAGTTATTTTGTGCGTTTTTGTAGCAAACATTACTTGCATTTTGGATTGAAGGCTTCGTCGAATCAATTTAGGGATAATCCACTATGCTCGTACGCGTCTGGGTTTTATAGAGTGCCCTAGCAGCTAGGCTACATGACGAGTTTGAAGTAATTCCCCAATTTTTTTACAGGCAAATGACAAAACGCAGTGAGCATCAGTTGAAGGCCATGGTGGATGATATGAATCAGTGGAAATTTGCTTCTGAAAACGGTCTTGACGCACACTCGAGTCGGCGCATCAAAGTGGAGCCACTGCGTTTTCCGGAACAGGATCGTCCTCGTAGCAGGAGCCAGCCCAGAATGTCTGCCATCCAATCTACCTCAGATTCCACCGCCTCTGACTCTGAGACAATCAATATGCGGGCTCGAAATAGGGCTGGCCGAGGCAAAGGTTACACCCTCCGCCTGGACGCCGTGGTACAACTGAACAACAGGAGTAAGAGCGTTGAAACTCAAAACCAAGACGGGTATTACGGTGTGAGCGGGCGTCACCCCACGTCGCATCGACACAAGTCCATCCAACTTGGTCCGATGGCAACGCAAAAACGCACTGTCATGACCCAAATTGGCTTCAGCTACACCGACGGTGGGGTGCAGGCGGACCCACAGACTCTGGATTTGTACAACATAGAAGTCAATGGCACAAAACCACTGGCACGCACGCGGAGCCTGGCTTCGAGCTCAGATGACGACGATGGTCATGAGTACATTCCAGAATTACCGGCGGCGATTCCTCTACAGGCTGCACCTAAGAGTAGGGCAAGGCGAAAATACACCTCGACAACACAGGCCGGTCAGCTGTCGAAGAAAAAGTCCGCCTCAATGAGTAACTTAGTTAACAGTTGCACGCAACTAGGAACTTTGAAGTACAATAAGGCCACTAGTCCGATTCCAGGTCTAGAGCCACCAGAATGTCAGTATTGTCGTCCGCGAAATCTCCTAACGTCCCAAACGCAAATTGGTCCACTCTATAGCCTATCCGAGAGGTATCAATACGCTCCCCACTTGGATGTTGCCTCAGAGCAAGATGCTTCAAAGAATCGTATTTGTAAGAGGGTACAATGCGGCTACCCGTGCCTAACGGATCGTGTCAACCTGGCGTGTCAGTGTGACGTGCTTGGACCTACAACCGGGGACGTACAAGTGGCGATCGGCCCTAAACTTGTGAACCAGCTCTACCAGACTCCAATGAAACCGCCTAGGCAGAAACGGATGAACAGTTATGCTCAAATTGGAACCCTCTACTCAAATTCACAGCAGCAAGTCGGTGAGGCAGAACGTTATCTGTCGTCAGCCTCAACGCAAATCGGATACGTCAACGCGGAACCGGTGAGCAGTTCAATTGCTGGAGAGCCCGTTCCACCGGGAAGAAGCCGAGTGGTAGCCCAATATGAGAGTAGAAGTATGCACGATCTAAGCTCCTCTTCGGCCATGATTGACAGCAGACCGCTTCCAAACGATCAATACATCGCTGGTGTGTCGATGCGACCTCGTGCGGAGAACTCGGCAACCCAGATCGGAACGATCGTGTCTAAAACATCTGTGCAGACGGATAGCCACACTGACGACAGCGTAGTCTCGAAACGCATTCAAACTGGTTACCCACAATTGTACGGAAAGTCAGAATCCTACACGCAGATTGGGAGTCTCTATAGACAAGCTGATATCAATGTCGAGCCTGCTATCGCGCCGATAGTTGCAACTCAGCCTCCACTGCAGAGCGCACCCCCGGCAGCTGGAATAAGGTACGACGACGCGACCCAGGTCTCACAGATTCTGGCACACGACGAGGTACAGACTCGCGACCTCCCAGAGTTCCATACTCGTCGACAAAGCATGCAGGTACAGTCTAAGTACAAGCGGAAACCCAAACGATCCTCGTCGATGCCATCGTTTTACCAGTCGACTGAAACCCAGGTTGGTCCAATGGTCACCCATGAGAGTCTCAGCCCCCTCGCCGACGACTACGAACCTGAGCCAATCAGGCCGACAGAGGTCGTGCGTGTACGATCCATGCCCAAGACAACACGGAACAAGAGAGTCCAATCACAGTGCTTGCCGACGATTAGGAACGTGGAGATGCAGGTTGGCCAGTTATTCCAGACGAACGAAGTACAAACTGACAGAGCTGTCGACAGGTTTGAGGATCAGGCAATTGTGCCAACTTTGCTCTCAGTCCAGCAGAAGGCCGTTTCGATGCCGGACGTGGGACTAGCTGAAACTCAGGCGTGCCCCGTTGTCCATGGTAAGAAAGTGCAGGTCGCTATCGCAATGGACGAACACATCCACGACAAGACACGCAACAAGAAATTGCAAGTTAGCTTGGCTTCTCTTCGAGACATGTACGATGTGGAGGTGGAGACATTGCCGATTCTCCAGAAAGAACATTTTGATGTGAGCTGTGATACCATGATTCTGCCGGATAATATCTCCAAGAAAATTCAGGTGTCGCTTCTCGAAGAGAAACCGCCGGCGATTCAAATGGTTGAGAATCAGGCGCCACTGTATGCGGCGATGCCGACACGTTCCGTCATGGAGCCTGCTGCATCGGCCTATTCACCTGAAACTCACGGCAAAAAGATGCAAGTTGATGTCCCCGCCGTCTTTTCAGCGCCTCCTTCTGTCGTGGACACTGGCTGTGATGCCATATACGCCAAGGACTACTTCGACGCCCAATGCCAGTGCGAGCCCCTTAAACCAGCGACGTTTGGGAAAAAACTTCAAGTCGAAATTGCGACGAATTCGGTGCCTCGGCAAACAACCGACGTGGCTTGCGATCCGATTGAGCCAGTCAAAACACTGGGAAAGAAAATGCAGGTTGAAATGGGCATGCAGGCTGCCCCACTGGAAAAGGTCGTTATCCAGACTGTTTCGAAGGAGGTGCAAGATAAAAGCTGTGCATTTGTCAATGACACGCCGATGTTCGATGCTCACCAACAAACTGGTGAACTGGCTGAACCAGAACCTATCCTCGTGGAAAATGCCCCGGCTCCTGTATTTGCGGCGCCACCGGAACCACAGAAGCCGGACGTGCGTGACATCGCTTGCGAGGCCTTGAAAACAGATCCTACCTACGAAGGTTTCACTCAATCAGAAAAGGTGCCCACATTTGGAAAGAAACTGCAAGTAGCCGTCGAATTGCAACAACCTGTACCGACAAGTTATGTAGTTGCTGCATCGCAAGCGATCTGCCAGGAGCCTTTAATAAGTTTGCAGCAGCCGCGGACCGCATTGCAAGTGTTCTCAGCACCGCCACAGGAAGCCGAAAAAGGTTCTGTTGATACGGCGTGTGAAGCGTTAGAGAATGCCGCCCTTTACGATGCAAGTGTACAAGCAGCTGAATTAGGCGTAAATAAACCCGCAGTAGTGGGAAAGAAATTGCAGGTCTCGCCACCTCTCCTTACAACAACAACAGTTCAGACGGAGAATGTTCTAGACACAAAGCTGATGCTGACGTATGTGGGCGTCCAAACAGCAGACATGCCTGCACCCGTCCCACAAGTTGTCCACCTTGAAGAAGCACCAAAGGTGTTTTCTGCACCTCCACCACAACCGCAGATTCCGACTGAAGATAGAGCTTGCGAAGCCATTGTTAGCACTGCTGCATTTGACGCTGGAGTCCAAGTTGCAGAGATGCAACAAACGAAACCCGTGACATTTGGAAAGAAACTGCAGGTTGCACCGTCTCCCTATGCTGTGAGTGTTACTCAAACAACTGCTGATATTCCAGCTCC